CAAAATGCATGCTGAAGATGCTATCAGAATAAAAAGTATAGTTCCCAAGCCTGATGCATTTGGTTGCAGAATTTTCCAAGGGTACTTCTACATTTGCCCCCTAGTTCGAACTAGGGAGGCAAATGAAGGTGACCAAAGTTGCTAATGAAGCACAGGATTTAAATATCCTCATACAATGAGGCGTACCAGTTAATTCGAGTTAAGGGTTTTTTCTCGGAGTACCACGTCTATACACGGCAAGTTAAATCGGGCTAGTCAATTTCCAAAATGGCGACCGGCCGCGACTATACTAATCAAGCGTGGCATATTTAAATCCCGTGCTTCATTAGCAACTTCGGTCGCCTTCATTTGCCTCCCTAGTTTGAACTAGGGGGAAAGAATAGAATTTGCCTCCCTAGTTTGAACGAGGGGGCAAGAATAGGTGTACCCCAAGGGGATTAAATAACGTTTTTTTTATCATTGATGGAGTAAGGGGTAAATCTCCTAAACAAACAATTAAATTGTATGTGTTGGCTTGTAAATAATATAGCATCACCTATTCCAAGCTCTGAAACAAAAACTATATTAAAATTGTACCTAAGTTTACATTTTTAACATTCAAAGAAAGACTAATGACAGTTTTTCCATTCAGTAAACTCTTTTGTAAAAACTTACTAGTTCAGGAAGATAATATTTGTTTTCAAGCTTTCTCTAGGCAACAAGAATTTTAGTGCATGAAGTAATCAATAGTATATTGCCAATGACCTCACTGGTATTTATAAAGCTAAGTTCATAGTGACAACACTTAGTAATGCTAAACCTAGCAACGTTCATTTCATTTCTGAGTGCAGAGGTGCAATATTTTATCAGAATTCGTCCAGGATGGATGTAATTTTTCTAAAATGTCAGCCAGCTCTGAATGCTTAGGAAGGCGCTGGTCTGATAGTCCATTGTCATTTACCTTACATAATTGTTTATACCATGAAAAGTGTATTCTAAATGGTACTAAACCAGAATAATAAGCATTTTACACTCACTTTGCTCTGCCTTTTTGCAGGTGTAAATGTCTACACAAGCTTCAAAGTACTAGAAGTACTTTCAAAGGTTCTGTTTTAATTTTTTTACAGCTACACTGACAAACTTAGTCACTTGTTCAAATGACCATTTCATTTGGAAATTTTACACCTATTGACTCAGTCATTCTGATACATCAATGTGCACCAAAGAAAAGTTTATAAATGTAATAGGAACTAGTAAGAACAAAGTGCAAAAGAAGAACTGTAAGTAGCAGGTGTGAGGATGACATACATGTGAAAACCATTTCTCTGGACAGGCAGTCCTGTGAATACCAGCCATTTGTAAGCATGTCTTCCTCTAATGGCAGCCTCACGATAGCAAATATGATCAAGCAGAGAACTATCATGCTATTTTTCAGCAGGGACAAGCTAGAAGAGTAGTGAAATGAGAGCTCAACTACAGAGTATTCTGATGAAGACAGAGACTCTTTGATTCATGAATTTTAAGGCTAGAAGGGACCATTAGATCATCTAGTCTAGCTTGTTTTATAACACAAACTATAGATTTGGTGGGGGGGAAAGGGGAACTAATATGACAGAGTGGAGAAAAATTATTAGAGAAGTGTTTACCCCTTCATATAATACAAGAAGTAGGGTTACCTGATTAAATTAAGGGGCAGTGGGTTTAAAACAAACAGAAAGAAATATTTCTTTTCACAATATACAGTCTGCCTGTGAAATGCATTGCTATGAGATGTTGAGAAGGCCAAAAATATACCTGGGTTCAAAAAGAAATTAAAAAGTTAATGGATGATAGGTCCATCAGTAGCAATTAGCTAAGATCTTCATGGATTCAACTCCATGCTTGAAGTGACCCTAATCCTCCAACTGCTAAAAACTGGGGAGAGATGAGAGGGAATGGATGACTAGAAATTGCCCTGTTCTGGTCTTTCCCTGTGAAACATCTGACATTGGCTACTGTCAAAACACAGGATACTGGGCTAGACGGACCATTGTTCTGACCAGTATAGCTGTTCGCATGACTGTCACTTTCAATGAATTTGGCCTCAAACCACTGTGGGATTTTTGTGAGGAAATGTCTCATTATTGCAAATATCATCAAACGGAGGAGTCTAGAGTGTAATGTTTCAGCAAAGACAAGCTTCAAGAATGGTGAAAGGGAGACTTGCTTTAAAAAATCAGTTTCTTGCCAGTCTTTAAGGTGTCTAAGTCAATAGAACCTTTGGATAAACATGTTCTCTCATCCCTGTTAATTTCAATACTAGCAGTCCTTTTAGTTAGAGATTCTTTCTGGATGCTCATACACCAGGATATGGAGTAAGAAATGTATTAAAATAGATAAATATTGTTGCTTACCTGTGGAACTAATAGTAGAAGTTGATTGTAGGAGTTACTAACATATGGTGAGCAATTCTATCCAGTGTTTTTATACTCCTTATTTTCTTAGGTCTGCAATCTAACAGACTGATTTGCTCTCCAATGCTTTATGTGATGTCTATGTTAAATTTTGTTTTGGAGATATGTCAGTGAATGTTATATTCTCTGGTGCTTCTTTCTCTTTCACATTCAACAAATTGAAACAAAAATCTGTGATGAGAACTACATTGTTGAGAGACATTTATTCTTTTCCCTTTCAAATTAAAAGGGGAAATGTTAAAAATGTAAGGCTAACTAATAAGAATTGTATTCCTATGTATTTGATTTAATGTCACAGTCAATATTTTCCTCCAATGAGTATGCATTTCCTTGTGTTTTTATACCATTATTTCAGAACAGATGTCTTTTAGGCTTCTGCACAAACCTTGATCTTCAACCTTGATTAAAGCTGAGCTATACAAGTATGCTTGTTCTGGTTTCAATGTCTTCATCTATTCCTAAACTCCTCCCTTTTCTCTCTTTCCCCCCTTCCCCCCCCCCCCCCTTCTATTTGCAATTATCTCTTTTTTCAAAAAAATGGCAGCTACTTTCACCCAGAAGAGTGAGAGCAAATGAGCCAGAAGTGCTCTTGTAGGCTTTTAAAGTAGACTCAATGACTGAATTCTGGATGGGGTTTCGCAGAGGTGCCCACTGGCAATGTCAAAAACGCTGTCAAGTGGCTGAGCACAAGATGAACATTTTACATAGTAGTTCTCACTTTTACAGCCTTGCAGACATACTGCTTTCAGGAAGCAATTAAAGCAGTCGGAGACAGTGTACCACATTTTTTTTTCCTGAGCAGCCACAGTGAAGAAAAAGCCATCTCCTCTCCAAGGCAGGCTGCAATGCTTCCTGTATGCTAATGGCTATATAGTTTTGGTTGTATTTTATAATTTGCCCTAACCTTGTATCCACACTCTCAGAAGCTTAAAGATTTCACCACAGCAGAGTAAAACATCTTTACTTCCCTGTAGCCAAGTCTTGAGCAAATAAAGACAAAGTGGTTGAGCTGAGGAGACGTGGTTACTTCAAAAGAGGAAATGGTATTGCAGATAGCTGAGAATGGTGGATGTTTCAGTACCTACATACCTGTATAATTCTCCCTCTAAACTTATCTCTGCCCATAAAAAATGGAAAACACAAAATGTAGTAAGATTTTTGCAGCACATTTTGTTTATAAAAGCATTCATGATTATTTTAAAAAAAAAGCGTATTCATATGGTATCGTTTTGAGGATGTGCGCTATGCACAAAAATGGCTACAGTTTGTTTCAGCCTTGCAGAAGGTACCATGAAAATGTACTAGCCTAGGCATAAAAAGTATTTGATCTCCTTTTATTAGGCTGACAGGTAATAATAAATGGTCTAGTAGCACTTTATAGACTAACAAAACATATAAATGGTATCATGAGATTTCGTGGCCACTTCTTCAGATGACCGGAGTTATGAGTTTAGGATGTGTACACCCATTACTAGTTTACTAGCCCATTAAAAGCAATTTTGCTGTCTGAATGAGTTAAGTTGTATATGACAGACTGAAGGGGAATTATGTACAACATTGAGAAGGATAATTGTACTAGATCCCAAACCTATAGTGCAAAAGAATCCTCTCAAAAGGACGACATATCTTCCAGAAGTTGCTTTCCATGGATTCTTTTATACCTAAAAAAAATGAAATAGACAGAAAACCCAGTTGCTTTTACATTTAGATTAAATGCTCCTTTGTGAATATTATCAGTAGCTATTCCTTTTCTGATAATAATTTGAACAGGTTTTCTGCTGTTATACATAATAATTTTCCAGTCAAAAGGGAACCTAGATGACTCATAGCAGGCAATCTGAGATCATATTTCTCTCATCAGAGGGGATAGTTTTATTATTTATTTTTCCTCCTTAGTAATAAATGTCTATTTTGTGCTTTTCTGAGCAACACCCAATAATAAAATTGTCTCTGTACATTTTTGAACCATCCAATGTCATTTAATCTGCCTAGGAATTTAATAGAATTTTAAAAAAAATTCAGCCCATTGGTCACTTCTACCATGTACATCTAGACCATATGTTAGGTGTAGTGGAAAATTTGCCATCAAAACTTTTTTCTATGGAAAATTAGGCTTTCAGCTAAACATTTTTATAGAAACTGACTTTCTCTAAAAGTTAGATTTTACTTGGAAAACTGAAAATCAGAAGCAGCTATTTTTCTCTGATGAAAAGTTTGAATGTCTTGCTGAAAATGTCAACTTAAATGCAATTTTTTCTTTCATGTACAAAATTTTCTCTGGAAAAAATAACCATTTTTCAACTGGCTCTCATATTTCTACAGTAATTTTGGTGGCACTCTGTTAACTTTCTATAGAGCCAGATTTATATAATTTCTGTTAAATTCCATAGGAATTTTCCATAATAGACTCCTGAGACATGCTAAGCACCTTCAGCGTCTGTTGTGGTCAGGGGATTTGAATGCATTAGGGATTTCACAGCATGGGTCCCAAGGTGGCTTTCTGTGTAAAAGATAAAAACACTCGTACTTAAAACCTCTGCTGGATTTTTCTCCCCTCTGGTATTTCAGCTGCTACTGAAGTGTCCTTTTCATTCGATGTTGGCAATGGCCCAGTGGAGATCATTGTCAGGTCTCCCAACCCACTCAATGATGACCAATGGCATCGAGTCATTGCCGAGAGAAATGTCAAGCAGGCCAGTCTGCAGGTGGACCAGCTGCCACAGGAGATCCGGAAGGCACCAACGGAAGGCCACACACGATTGGAACTGTATAGCCAGTTATATGTTGGTAAGTAGTAGAAGAAATAATAGGCTCCACTGGTCATTACTGCATTCCAGACACTTCACAATGGGGGCAGTTACAGTAATTGAGTAATATATCAGGCTTCTTTCCAGAAGCATTTGGTGATGGTAGGGGACAAAATGAAAAGTAATGCAGGTTAGGAAGGAAGGAAGGAAGGAATGAACGAATGAGTACTGTTCTGGTACACTGTTATCTTTGCTCCTTCCTTATTTGTATCTCAAGGCTCAGGCTTTGTTGAGATTTTTTTCCCCCAAAGGATCTCCCATACAGCTATTCAACTGAGAACTAAAAGAGGCCAGAGAACTCCATGCAGGGATGGAAACTTATGGCAGTACTGTTTGGCTGTCATCTCTGTGATATGAATAGCATCCTCATCCTATCTAGATTTGTTCTCCCCTTCCTCATTTACTGTATTCGCCCTCCAATCTGACACACCATCACCCCACCTTTTGCTTGTGCATTTAATAGCAGGTTATATTGTATATATAAAGACACATTTCACTCTTTGCCTATCACTTTAAAATGTTGCTAGTGTTCACTGCATTTTGGGTACTGAAAGGCTGCTGTTCCAGCAACACTCATTCTTCTATAGCTATTGAGGTCCACAGGGCAGACATTGTGTCATTAGGCAGGACCAGATTTACATGAAATGATGTTCAAAAAAATATTTCCTACCTCTCTAAATGTGTGGCAACAAGACATGAACAAAAATTATTTACCTCATCTCCTGACATTTTCCTGAACCATTCAACAACAGAAGAAAATCAGTACTTTAGTATTTTTGTAAATATCATACTGGAAGTAGAATGGAAACAGCTATATATGTCATTGGTTGCACAGTCATTATTTACAACCTCAATCTCTTCTTTAACATTGATAAAGATGATCTGGAGTAAAAATGTGTTACTTAGCAAACTGAAATGTAAATAAACTTGGCAGAATTTAATTTTTATTTTCTTATCACTTCAACTGAAAATGTTTATTTTAATCTTTTTTTTCAGATTTTAATCTATGTACATTTTCACAGTTGTGGGCACTTATGGGGCAGATCAAAATAAAGGGCAAGGGGATTCAGATAATGATTAGACAGTAGACATTGAGATTCAAAAAAGGCTGTCCTGGTGGTACTTTACAAATTTTTCATTAATTGTTTGACTGTATTTCCAAAATTGAATATCTGGGATTGCACTAAATTTTCTCTGAATCATAACCAAGATCAACTCTACAACAGGTTGTAACCTCCCTGGTCTGGCACCCTTAAAATCTGACCAGTCCCAAATGAGGGAGTTAGCTAGACCAGAGAAGGTCAATGCTGACCCCGCGGCTGCCAGCCTCCAGGTTCTCCTGGGGGCCTGCCAGTCTCTCAACATCAGGGCTGTCCTTCTGAACACCGGCCCCTATTTTCAGATTGTACCACACTATCCCAGCCGACTGACCTTTCTGCTGGCCCTCGAAATTAGACAAAGGTTTCTAACCTTTACAGGAGTGATGTTCTGGAACAGCCTTCCCAGGGAAGTAGTGGGGGCAAAAGCCCTATCTGGCTTCAAGATTAAGCTAGATGGGTTTATGAAGAGGACGGTTTGATGCGATAACATGATCCTGGCAACTGATTGATCTTTCACTATCGGTGGTAAATAGGCCAATGGTGGGATAATAGGAGTTACTATAGAGAACTTTTTCCTGGGTGTCTGGCTGGTGAATCTTTGCCCACATGCTCAGGGTTCAGCTGATTGCCATATTTGGGGTCAGGAAGGAATTTTCCTCCAGGGTAGATTGGCTGAGGCCCTGCAGGTTTTTTGCCTTCCTCTGTAGCATGGGGCATGGATCACTTGCTGGAGGATTCTCTGCATCTTGGGGTCTTCAAACCAACATTTGAGGACTTCAATATCTGAGATATAGGTGAGAGGATTATTCCAGGAGTAGGTGGGTGAGATTCTGTGGCCTGTGTTGTGCAGAGCACCAGGACCAATAGTAGGCCAGTTCAGTCAGGGTGGATGTGGCCCACTCCCAACAGCTGATGAGAAGGTGTGAATACCAAGAGAGAGAAAACTGCTTCTGTAATGAGCCAGGCATGCCCAGTCCCTATTCAAACCCAGATGAATAGTGTCACAAAAACTTCAGAAACAGGCTTCAAAGAGAAATTGCAGAGCTGTGATTCATTTGCAAGGTTGACTCTTCCATAGCCATGGTGCATGTTGGCACCAGGGCACTTTGAAGGAGAACGTACTAGATGATCACAATGGTCCCTTCTGACCTTAAAGTCTATGAGTCAGTGGGCTCAGCTCCCAGCCCTAGCAAGGCTTCCTGCCACCAGACTGCCAGCCCAGCTCCGATCCCGCTCCTGGCCAGACTCCTGACTACTGGCCCCTCTCCTGCCAGATTCCCAGCTGGCCTGCATTCCCAGATCCTGGACAAGAGAGGTTCAACCTGTAGCACCATGAATCTGAATTTCCTAAAAGCATATTGAAGGAATTTAAGGGTTCTAATACTTGCTTTCTGCCAGGCACTTGCCATGTGTGCTTGGAAAAGGCACTTAGGCAGGTATGTTCAGATTTGGGTGTTCTACTTGGGCATGTAAAACTGTATCTAAACAACAAAATAAGTGGCCTGATGATTGTGCACGTTGAAAGTATGGGCGTAAACCTCACCTCCAGTTTCACAAACTTTGCTTTGAAAAATATAATAAGATGTAAGAGGCTGTTGTCATTATTATTGCTTATCATTATCATCAACCTATAGGAAATGTTGCTATCTCTAAATGTATTCAGGAATAAAACCTATTATTACCGAGAAAATGATCTTTAAAAATATGTAAGAAAAAGAAGAAATTATGTCTCTAGGCAGTTCCTCCACTAATGGAACTATACCTCTTTATACCATCTGAGAATTTGTCTGAAAGCTTAGACTTCCTGTAATTTGATTGCATAATGAAAAATGAATGAATATTTTAGGCTTTTAAAAGACATCCCAACCTACAGTGTTATGCTTAAAAGAAGCATACGGGATCTTTTTCAGGGGGATAAGTCAATATGCCACATTTATTGATAATATCACAAAGTAGCATATGCATTTACACACACACACACACACACACACACACACACACACACCCTGCTGATGGAATAGTTGCCAGTCTGTTGCTCAACCTATTTGCTAGATAGGTTGGGTGCGAAGAAGGAGCCGGGTTTTTGTCAGTCCAGACGATGCTCCACAGTCTTAGCAGGACGAGAATCCAAAGAACCATGCAACACACCCCATTTTGTATAGGATTTTCCTTCCATGCAAGTCTATGCATTTTGCCTTGTCAGGACTTAATCAGTCATTCAGCATCACAATCAGTTTTTCTGTGACATAGGCTTATTGAGAAGAAGTTGTTCTTACAGTCCATATGATATCCGTATGCTGACAACCCCTCAGGGTGTTATCTTCTGGCGAAACTTGATATCAGTTCCCTATCAAGGGGTGCTTGCCACTAACTTCAGGCTTCGTCAATCTGCCTCAGTCCAGGTTGCATCTTCAGTGTGCTTTCGCTTAGTTGATAATTATTTGATGCTTCTGAGTCTCCGGTCCCTCTCTGACCATTTGAGCATGCCATGGCCCTCACACTTACTGCTCCTAAAACATTTTCTCTCTCATTCTCACAAATAATACATTTACAGAATTGCAGCATGGAACAAAGGGATACTTCAAGTCACTTTATCCATTACAAGGCCTTACCTTATATTAACATCACTATGCATTACAATATTCCATCCTTTCACTTTAACATCAGAACATGCTATCAGAACATGCTAAGTTAACAAAGCTCCCTGGCCTGTCTGAGACCTACATCTTGTATTTAAGTTTAATCCAAACCTTCTGCTATAACATACATTATGACTAAGGGTATGTCTACATTGCATTCCTCTTTCGAGAGAGGAATGCAAATGCAGCTGAGCGAAATTGAAAATGAAGCGCGGATTTGAATTTCCCACGCTTCATTTGCGTAATTGCAGCCAGATGCTTTTTCAAAATATCCTATTTTGAGATAAAAATGCTGTTTAGACCTGGTTATTTCGAGAAAAAAAAACCTTCTTTCAAAATAACCCTTATTCCTTATAAAATGAGGTTTAAGGGTTATTTCAAAAGAAGGGATTTTTCTCGAAATAACTGCATCTAAACTGCATTTTTTATTTTGAAATAGTGTATTTTGAAAAAGTGGCCAGCTGTGAGTATACAAATGAAGCACTGGAAATTCAAATCCGCACTTCATTTGCAATTTCGCTCGGCTGCATTTGCATTCCTCTCTTGAAAGAGAAATGCAGTGTAGACATATCCTAGCTGACTTATTAATTACAAAATTCTAGGGTTACAACAGTATGTTCAGCTGTAGACATCCACTCAGTAGATTATTTGGGTTACAGCAACAATAATGCAGTTTAACTCTTGATTCATTATTTTTGCATTCTCTCTCAGGTGCCGCAGGAGGCCAGAGAGGATTTCTGGGTTGTATTCGCTCTTTAAGAATGAATGGGGTGACTCTGGACTTGGAAGAGAGAGCAAAGGTCACACTGGGGGTGAAACCTGGCTGCTCAGGCCACTGCACTAGCTATGGAATGTACTGTGAGAACGGAGGTAAATGTGTCGAGAAATACAATGGCTACTCCTGCGACTGTTCCAAAACTGCGTATGATGGACCGTTTTGCATAAAAGGTAAAAGTAGAAATGTGAAAGTCAAATCAACTAAGCAAAAGAGAATCACTAATTAATTGTTTGAATTTGGTTAAACATATGACGTGCTTAGGCGTGTGCAGCATATTTCATTAGGGTGTGCACCCAGGGAATTTTATTTTTTATTGGTGAACATTTATTGAATACTCAATCATAGAAGACATGCTGCACGTGAACGCTGGGTTTGTATACATTTCTACATTCTGCGCTTATTACATAATACAACAATCCATACTTAAAACTAAAAGAGCATATCATGTGATTAAATTAAAACGCAAAGCCACTTTTTTTTGAGACATTAGGGTGTGCCTGGCACACCCCCTGTGCACGCCTATGATGACATGTGAGTACTTTAATATCCCTTACAAACCTACACATGCACAGTGATCTATTCTACCACTTATTAATGGGTAATAAATCCACCATTTAAATCCAACAGCAAATGGAAGAAAGAACTTTAAGACAGTGTATACTCTTTCCAGAAGGATCAAGTGTTCTCTTGTGCTGTTGAGTAATAAATTCCTATTAGCACAGGATAATGTTTATTAGTTCAAACAATACGAGTTAAGTTCAGATCCAGATCTGAACTTCTCTAGTACTCAGGGGGACTTAAGTTCAGGGCATTGGTTGTAACTGATATAGATTAAGGTGGCAGGGGTGAGCTACAACCTTTCTCAAGCATTTGGCTATACTGATCAAGAAGTCTGGTTGAAGTTTCTCACTAGTTATGTCGGATTAGAGATTGGTCATGCTAAATTAAGGGGAGGTTCATAGTTATAGTAGAGCATTTTGAGTGGGCACAGTGACTAATAAAGCACGGATGCCTTATCCACTTCATTCATTTGAAATGCATCAAGGATTATAATGAATCATTTTATTATCAGAGAATTTCTGGTATGTTGACATACCTACCAACTACTTTAAAAAAATGTCCAAAAAGCTACAAGAAAACTGGGAATGAAACTTCTAGTTAGTTTCATTGGTGTATTTGGATTGGAAATTATAAAGATACAACTACATAGTATTGGGAAATGTAGTGTCTCGAATCAATGCATTTAAAATTTTACAGACATTCATTTGTTTACATAACATTTCAAGAAATATTCCTATATTCTATTGTAACCCGCTGCTGAAGATTTCATCACATATGCTTGAGGTGCCAGTCTCTCCCTCTTTCACTGTGTGTGTGTCATAAATATACAAAATCATCCAATCTGTTGTATTTCCTAGTTCTTTCTAGAAGCTGCCTCATGTGGTGCTAAGTCTGTGATTTCAGCTGAAATCATTTATTCATAACTCTTCTTAATGGTTTTCATGATTCTAAGGAACCTTTTGTCTCATAAATTGTCTATCACACTGTTCTGCCTTTAAATTACCCACCTTACCAGCAATCCTACAGGCAAGTCTATTTACCAGTCATCCTACTGCCCTTGAGCAGTTCATTATGCCTGCAGGGGATGACTAGTATCCTTTGACATTCCCAACTCCTTCACAACTATTCTTTCTTTTAAGACAAGCCTCAGGCATTAACGAGTTTGTGCTTTGCATTCCCCTTCTCTTCCATCTGGGAATAAGTGAAGCTTATAGCAGAAAAGGCCAGTCCAAGGCTCTCTTTACCCACTTCCTGGTTATGAGCTAGATTCACCTCTCCCCCATGTGTTAGCCCATATCCATAGGCACAGGAAGTAAGGCTTCAGGGTTTTTTTCACCCAACCTCCCTGTGCCCGGAAGCCAGCCACGCTGCTGACTCACCACAGTCTTCACCAGCTTCGGGTCCTGGCCTCCACTTGACCTCTGGGATGCCAATGGCTTCACTGCCACCTCCCAGCCTCACCCACTGGCCCCACGTCCACAGACTCCACAGCCCACCGGCCCTGCTAGCCTCAGAGTCCAGGCCACCAGCTCTGGAGGCTCCACAGCTACTACAAGTCCCGCTGCCAGCTCAGGCCTCTGCTCCTAGCCGCGGCTCAGGGCTCAGCAGTTGCCCCCACCTGTGGCTCCAGCCTGGGAGCAGTGAGCAGCTAGAGTTTCCTAACTTTCTTGGACCATATGGACCTTACACCTTTGCCATGAATGGCATCCAGTCATTCTGGTCTAGGAGAGTTGGCAGCCATCAGAAGGGCACGAATGGTTTCAAGGGGGTGGTGTAACTCAGCAACCTCACCCTAAAAATTGTTTCAGCGTCATTGCCCATATCAACCCTTCTTTATTCTTTCAGATATAACAAATCCTGCATCTTGGCAGGGGATCAGATTAGATAACCCTGACAGTCCCCTTCTAAGCTTATGGTTCTGTGATTACTATTGTTATCCATATATTAATCTGCCAGAGAGCCAAAACTCAGGGTCCAGTGTGTTGGTTCCAATAAGAGGAGAAACTGATGATGGAATCAAGTATTTTTTCCAGATGCAATCCAGTTTATTTACAAAGAATGGACAGAGTATCGTTTCCCTGAAGAAAAACGGAATCAGACAGCTGGAGACCATTTTTTTTTCTGAAAGCTTCATCCCACTTTTAGCCAACACTCAGCGGAAAATCTCTCTCTTCAAGGACATTGTCTGTATTGCGCAGTGAGCTCAGGTGATTGGTACCGGGGTCTAAACACTTGGGTGAGCCTTCCACAACAAAGTGTTATCCTCATTACTGTGCCTTCACTGATTCTGCACTTATCCACCCATGGCTGGTGACACATCCCACGGGTCTGTATGCTGGGATGCTCCAGGTTTCTATTCCAATCCATTCTGAGTGGCAGTGTGCACTAATCGCCTACAGAGACAGAGTTCTCTCTTTCAGCCAAAAACTGAAGTAATTTACTGTGTTAGTCTTTTAACGATCATATGTGTTGACTTTTAAAATAGTCACTGTTACATTCCAGTGAACTTTTTTAAAGTACTGTAGTCTTTTCCCAAAATTTGTTAGATCATTTTTTTCCCTGTTTTTTTCCCTATTTTTCCAATAATACGGGGGCCAAAAGAAGCAATTGCCCCTAGGCCCAGAGATTCAAAAGGGCCTGGGGCTCTGGCTGCCGCTGCTATACATCAGTGGCAGTGGTTGCAGCCCCGTGCCTTTTAACTTGCCACTGGAGCACTGTATAGCACTCTTCAGGTGACTGAGAGGGCTTCTTGAGGGAGGGAGATGCAGCACAGCATGTTCCAGGCATGCGGTGGTCTGGCTGCCCCAGCTCTGCCCCTTCCACCCACGTAATCACCCCTTCCAGGAGCATGAAGCCAGCCCATCACACACACACACATCTTAGGTTCATCAGGCCCCTGGCTATCAGCCTCGCTGACTTTTGGGGATGAGCCACCCACAGATTGACTGAAAACCAACCCAAAGCTTCAGTCAAAACTAAGTCTAAACAAAATATTTTCTTCCTGACTTTAGACACAACATAAAATAGAAATACCATAAAAGAAGTTGAATAGTGCCTGACACAATGAGGCTTTATTCTTGAGTGCTAAGGAAATATCCAGCAATGTATATACATCACCTAGTTCCAATTAGCCGCAGGTTCTGTGACTTGATCATTCCAATTTTCTTTTCAGTTAGTGCCGAAAACTGGCTTATCTGTGTGGAAAATCAGGCTTCTCCCCCCCTCCAAACATAATTCAATGTTTATGACCTCAGAATGATTCTTCATTCAAATAAGCAGGTGGTATAAAAAACAACAGTTAAAGGGTAACGTAGACACAACACAGGTAATTTTGGAAATGCCCCATGAACAAGAGAACAGTAAAAATCCTGAAGCAATGCTGAAAATAAGGTCTCTAAAACACTTCAGTTGGGGCCTATTGAGTTTTACGTTGTAAATTTAACTTGCAGTATGCTTCATAAATCCAGGAAAACACTGGAACATCTTGTAAATGTTGCCAAATTCCCTAGGTTTTCAAATAAACTGGCTTCTACTTTTGTTTCTAATGACAGCACAGGGAGTCTTCTGCCATATGCTCCTTTTCCATGAAACAGGACTGGGCTGTCACTGGATGCTAAGCAAAAATACAGAAAATAGTACATGCCAATGAAATGAAGTTTTGGCAAAATAATTGAGTGTATTGCATAATCTTTCCTGGAGTGTAGTGGTGGTTTGTAATAGACAGGAGGAGTGCTGACCAGAACCCAGTGACTAAGGGGTTAAACTCAGGTAGCTACTAAAGGTGTTGGCCCAGGGGCTGCAGAACCAATCGAGATAGAGTGTTGAAATTTGAATTTGATATAGATTCCTTGCCTGCTTTCTTTGTGGTGAAGAGAGAAACCAGGAGTTGAGAGACACAGAATGATTTAAACCCAGGCAGGACTACTATGTCTCCAAGGAATTTGGGGCATGGGAGTAGATTGAACAAAGAGAAAATTGGAAGGAAGGGGGAAAGTGAATTTGCTCACATTTGGGTTGATTTTTCTTTATTTTGTGGTTTGGTTTGAACTACTCTGTGTGAATCTATGCCTCCCCATTTACTACCTTGCATTTTGCTCAGAGACTTTTCTCTGTTTTAATTTGTTTTCCTTAGTTGCTCTGTAACACCTAGCAACTAAGTGTGCGTTATCAAATTTATCTTTTGTTTTGTAATTAAAATCACTTTTTTTAAGGTGATGATTTGATTCTTGTGTGCTGGCAGATCTGTCTGTGTGTATTGGCTCAGACTAAGGGGTCAACTACCTGAGACTGTAGCTTGTTTTTCTCTTTTCTTTTTTCAAGCTCTTTTGGGGCAAAAGAACTCGGTGTAACCTTGAAGGTGATTTGAAGTGTTTTCATCCCTGGTTATTAGGGATAAAAAAGCACTTTATGGTGGCAGCGATTCCCTAAAATCTGTGTATTATGATTCTGGGGAGGGGTTTTTGTTAGCAGTGCTTGTAGAGGCAAGGTTTTGAAGCTCTCTTGCGGGCCCTCACCTTCCGCACTTGGAGTGCAAGAGTAAGGAACAGTCCTGACATAGTTCTTTTCCACTTAGCACTAATTTAAACGCACCTCATGACTATCAGAATTA